GTCAACAATTTATAGCTCTTGATAAATGAATTAAGTATTGCCAATTCACTTGGAAACTCAACATAGACACTTACCAAGGAGGAAATCCTGGATAATCATAGGTTTGTTCTATGTTGCTTTCAACCAAAGACGAAGAAATGGGTCTTCCTTCACTGTATTGGATACCTAAACTACATAAGTGTCCGTACAAACAACGTTATATTGATGAGTCTTCCAAGTGCTCCACGAAACCTGTGTCTAAATTATTAACATCAATTGTATCAGCAACCAAAGCCGGGCTTCAAAGTTATTGTGAAACTACCTATTCTAGAGGTGCATGGCGTTAATCAGATGTTGATACTAAAAAATTCCAAAGATCTTTTAGAGTACATACAATCTAAGACTCTTTCATCCTGCAATAGTATTAAAACATTTGACTTTTTTACACCTTACACAAGTATTCCCCATTCCAAACTAAAAGACAAATTGAAAGAGTTGGTCCTGCTTTGTTTCATAAATAAAAATTACCAACGTAGATACAAGTATCTTGCCTTATGTAGGGATAAATCTTACTTTGTAAAAAATCACTCTGATTCAAACAAAAAATTCTCTGAAATTGACATTATCAAGATGCTTGATTTCTTGATTAACAACATATTTGTTACGTTTGGAGGACGAGTTTTTCAACAAACAATCGGCATTCCCATGGGAACCAACTGTGCTCCTCTTCTTGCCGACTTGTTCCTTTATTCATATGAGGCTGACTTCATACAGGAATTTCTTAGGAAGAAAGAAAAGAAGTTAGCAGTATCTTTCAACTTCACTTTCCGCTATATAGATGATGTTTTCTCACTAAATAATTCAAAATTTGGTGACTATGTTGCACGCATCTATCCCATCGAACTTGAGATAAAGGATATAGTTAAGTCTGCTTCATATTTTGACTTACATCTAGAAATTGACAATGAGGGTCGGCTGAAAACAAAACTTTACGACAAAAGAGATGATTTCAGCTTCCCATTGTGAACTTTCCATTTCTATATAGCAACATTCCAGCAGCGCCTGCATACGGAATATATATCTCCCAGTTGATACGATATTCGAGGGCTTGTATTTCCTATCATGATTTCCTTGATAGAGGGTTGCTGCTTACAAGGAAGCTATTAAACCAAAAGTTTCAAGTGGTGAAGTTGATATCATCACTTCGTAAATTCTACGGTCGCCATCACGAGTTGGTTGACCGTTATGGAATATCCGTTTCACAGATGATAGCGGATATGTTCCAATTGTCGTAACTACAATCCCGTCACCTTTTCATCGAATGTGACCTACCGAATTAGACTTATCACCATGTTACATTGTACTAACATGAGCAACACGACGGGTGCCACATGTGGAGCAGGATCTGCTAACCCTTCCGGAGCACCTGAGATCACCCCTAGTTTTGGTGGGGTTCGTGTTGCTCAGTCTTTAATGTTCTATGTTGTGTTTTATGTACTGTTGTTTGTCTGTTTGTCTTTTTCTTTTTTTACCATGTTGTTGTCAGTTTATTTTCGACTTATGAGTTTGAATGTCCCTTTGGTATCTTTCGCCTCTCTTTTAATGATGCCATGTAAATAAATGTTTCGTTTTTCAAGAGCTAAAGTAGCAGCGCGTCATCCCTACAATAGCTTTGTTGGTATAGCATACAGAAGCCTGATATGTTTGATGAGTTTATACATACAGTACATGGCCATTCGTTTTGCTATAATATATTACACATAAAACTTCTGAAAGTCCAATCGTTGTACTATATATATCATTGCTGCGATCGATGGTATACCATACATAAGCATGGTATGTTTGACGAGGTTTATACATATACAATACATGGCTAACAGTTGCGCTATCATCGCTGCAATTGTTGGAATAACATTCATTTGTCTTGCCCTTCGATTCACTTACCAGCGGCAATATGATAAAACAAAACAACCAATAAAGGAGTCACCATTGAGAAAGAACCATATTTTGTTTCATTCGTACTCAAACATTGCGATTTTCGGTATTGTTGCGTATTTCATTTAGAAAAATATTTTGAATGTATTAACTTTCAAGGATATATGAAATACATTATTTATTTTTCCCAAATTCTAAATGCCGAAAATTTTACTCTTTACATTTAAATGGCAATAACTCATTTAAGATGAATGTTTACCTTATACACTTTCAAAAAGCAGTAATAACAAGCGAAGGTCAAATATATAACATCGTATGCTCTTGACCTCAATTTCAAAGTCATGCTCGAAAGTTTCATACCAAATTAGTGGTGGTCTTCACAAGTTACTAGATAAGCATATTATAATGAACTTGTTTTTTTTCGTTTGTCTCATCAAATAATTTAGAATATCATAAATGGAGAATATTGATAGTTTAGGCTATAGATACGCTTTATACATATAAATAGAATTAATCAATTGAAACAAAATTCAACACTAACAGATTAAAGATTTAATGTTATTAATAAAACGTGTGGTAGTTTCTGGAGGATACGAATCAGCAAAGGAAAAGGGGTCTTGTCATCTGTGGTAAATAGTTACACTGTGTTGTGATTACAGGTCAAATGGTGTGTTTCGGCATGTACATTGAGATAAAACTCAAGTAATTAAGTCCCAGCAGTTTCCCACTTTTCACTTACATCCATGTGTTTGTTTTGTAGTTTTATATTTTTACTTTACTTTTCATGATAGGTTAGGCGGGAAAACACAAATAGGTACTATATTCCCGTGACAAGACCACATTTTGAATCCAACATAAACTTCAACCATAATGAAAAATAAATTCAATATTTATATTTATTTTCATTCCCAACATCTTTGCAACATTCAAGCTGCGCCTGCATATGGAGTAGTATGTATCTTCAATTTGATCAGAGAGGCTGCTGCTTACAGGGAAGCTATTGCATCAATGCTTCCTAGAGGTAAAGTTGAAGCCTTCCCTTCGAAATTTTACGGAGGTCTTGATGGTTTGGTTGACCGTTATGGAATATAATCGTAACCGGTATGTGTATGTGTTACAGATGACCACGGATACATGTATATTTCAATTGTGGTAGCCACAATCCTATCCTTGTTTCATCTAATGTGACATTACAAATGACACTTATCACCGAATATATCGGCATACATGTACACAATAACATAGAAAACATGAGCTCTGATGAGCTCTTTAACCGACTATAGCATCCTGCTAGCATCACGGCATGCATCACAGTCTTCTTCTTCCGAATACGGTAGTAGACTCCTATGTAGGGGTGTAAAACTTCCCGGAACTTGTGTGCTATGTACATATGGGAGTCCATATGGACTTAATTGAATTTACTATAAACAATAAAATAAAATAGACTATTGAATAACATATATATACATTATGTACAGTGGCTTTGGTGTTATAATAAGTTGGTGTCTTTGCATTGGGTCCTTCAAATCATTGTTAAGAGTGGATATGCCACTTTTGAAGGATTCCAGGACATACCTATTGCTTCAGGTAGTGAATTCCAGTCAGTTTGGACAAAAACAATATTTATAGAAGTCTTTATTAGTCACAATTTGGCGAAATCGGAAATAGGACACAATCGATAAATTTACATTTCATACTATTCTGATATTTTAAGATTTAAGTCCGCGAACACATGTCGTTAGTGAGTTAGTTACGCATACGCATCGTATCGGTAATCCAATTCGTGATGGTGTTCGTTAACTTATGTAATGTCGATATAAGTCGTTTTCCTCAAAAAGTTCTCTGTTGGATGGGTTTTTGTGTCAGATGCACATCTGTTTAAAGTCCTTTTGGCGTGAACAGGTACTTGCGTTACGTATCTATTGTGAAATGCATACGCCATACCACACCTATTGTTATACTTACGCGGTTTCAGATTGGTAACCGAAGTTAGTTTGAGATTTGATGATTAACGTGAGGGTACCCAAATTGCACCTATTTTGATAGTTTTTTCACCTACGTTTTTTCATGATCCAGACAAAAGTTACTATTTTGTGTTCATTTTGTAGATGTATCCTTGTTTACTATATAGTTATACCAATTTAATTTTATATCGATATTGAATCATAGAAAAATGGGTTTGAACAGACCGCCAAACGATGCATGATTCTGTAATTAGGAGTACCCAAATTGCATCCATGCTTAAATTCAAATCCTTAAAAATCCAATAATAGATGTTTTGTTTTATTTCTTCAAATATTTAGAACAATTTGACATTAGTCCATGTTTAGTTTTCATTTTTTAAGAAATAGATGCTTGTAACATTTTTTATTTGCTCATTTTTAAAAGATGACTTTTTGTAAACGTCGCATGGCGACGTTTCCGTAGATTTTACTTTTCCAGTGTGCTTCATCTGTTGAAATAAATACTGTTAACCTTTTTTATATATTTGAATATATTAACCTATGTTGAAAGACGTGTATAATGTCAAATCATAAAAATACAAATTATTTGGTCTCAAAGAAAACTTGTAAGATTTCCGCAGCTATTTTTGTTGAATAGGTGCAATTTGGGTACCCGGTGCAATTTGGGTACTGTGACGTTATAGTTTTAATACGAATTTAAAACGTTTTTCGACGATTGTACGTGCATTCTATACAATTGTACATCTTATTTGAAGGAAATCGTTTAAACATATTGAAGAAAATAAAAGAGATCAATGCGGGTTTTTTTTTTCGTTTTCAGTAATAGTTTTATAACGTGTGCAAGGGTATATAAATCCTTGACGTGCCAAAGTTGTATGCAAAATTTTCCAAAATCGGTGACATACACAAATGTAGCCCATTATCGTACCTTGACCTTAACTGGAACAGTGACAAATATAAAAATATATTCGTTGCTTAACGAGTATATTCGTAAATACTAATATCAGAAGTCTGTTACTAGTACTAGTAATCATGATCAATCATGGTAATGAGCTTCAAAATCGATTGCAGTTTAATTTCGGAAATCACGCGCAGTTGGTCCGTACTTGATGCAGTAATTCAAATCGTTTATGAACATCCGGAATTATTTTTTTTTTGTGTTTTTCCCCCAGCAAAAAATAATAACATTACAGATAAGACAGATAAGACTAAACTGGAAAACAAGTATCATTAATACGCCAGTGCGATAAAGTTGTGTTGATAGTATGATTTGATACTGAAACGCAGTTGAAAATGGCAGGAAACTTCTGGCAAAGTTCTCATTTGTATGTACAAAAAAGATAGGTTTAATAAATAAGTATAAATAGAATAACAATATTACGTATTGTTATATCATATGTCTCTCTTTTTGATTTTCAATCTACTTTTCACTCACTACTTTATTCCTTTAGTTTAAGTTTTTCTTTTTTTCTCCATATTTTCAAGTGTATCTAAGACTAAGTTACCGAGTCTAAGTCCGTTAAAATATTTTTTAATACAGTTTTTTCGGGCCTTTTACACATTTTGTAGCTTGCTATGCACAGGCATTCACTTTGCATTTGGCCAAAAAATGTAACTTGCCTAAGAACATGAAGAATTATAATAGTTCGATGTCGTCCATCTTTTTTTTTTATTGGCTTCTCAAGACTTTTTTCCCTTATCAGTCAACACTCAGAGTTTTACATTGAAATTTGTTTTACATGTACACAAGCAAAAATAATCTTGCATAATGACACATTAATATCACAATTACAAAAAGATTATATATTCAGCATATAGGGCTCTATATTTCTAACATAATCTTTGTACTCTTGGGATTAGTAAAAATAGTTTAAAACTGAAATTGTTTATGCTTATCAGAGAGAAAACATGTCATTTCAAAATTTTGATCCTTTTAATGAATATAGTACACATTCTTTGCTTAACTCCTGTGCATGTTTTTTTTTTATATTGGAGTTTTTATTTAACAGTCTTTAGAACTGAGTGTGTCAGACAGGTGCAAGTGCAATGGAGTAAATATAATTTTTAAGTTGTGTACAATGTACTAACATGTTGTTCATTTGCTATATTCTTGTACATGTATGGCTTGACTCTAATGGGTGTTATTATTCAATAGAGATATATATATAAAGTTTGTTTACATCACCTGATTATGGTTCATAGTCATGATAGTAGGTCATTTGTAAAACATTTTTTTATTGAATGTTAGTTGAGGGTCTCCAAATAAGTAATAACCTATGATTTTGAAAATATGTAAAAGTTCAAATATTTATGACAATTATACAGTACTATTGTGTCGTTAACTCATTCCTCTGTTTACTTTACAGCCAACAGTGGGTGTTAGATCCACCAGAACTGTTTAAGAATAGACAGGCTGATTTAAATGTTTTAACTGAGGATGGGTACCAGAAGATAATGATATTTTTTGCAAACTGTGAGTGTTTTTTGTTGTAACCTAAGTTTTTAACAGATTAAACAATAATTTAGTCCAAGATTGCTCTGACGTCTGACAACCTTTTACGCAGCAGAGTACATATAGTAAACAAGGAATCCTCCAACCAACTGCACACATTTCTGATGAATTTGTCTATTTTTAGCTAAAAAATGTAACTTTTCAAGGGAATATACAAATGTAAATATAACAACTTACTGTCATTGATATTGATTTCAAGTATTTTCGTATACATTTCTAGTGTATTAATATAAATTGATTTAAATTTTCAGTTATTCAGTCTCTCGGGGAACAGCTAAAATTGAGACAACAGGTTATTGCTACAGCAACGATATACTTCAAAAGATTTTATTCTAGGTAAAACATGTACTTTATATAGCAAATTATACATCTATACGTTTTCCATGTTACAATCTTTTTACAAATAAAAAAATGCTGTTGATACCCTTATTTTAAAGTGTTGCTAGCCAAATGACAATAAATAAAAGAGAAAAAGTAAAATTTATTTGTGTGAATAGAAAAGATCTCTTATATTGATCATTTTATACTTTGTCAAAAAGTTCATAGTGAAAAATGTTGTGATCTTCATGTCTTTCTGTTTGTTTGTGTGACAGGATTTGGTTTGCAGATGATAAAATTTTAATATGGAAAAAGGAGATGTAGAATATACATGTATGTCAATGAGACAGCAAACAAAAGACATCTTCTCTTGTATTAAAACTCACTAGAATAGACTGTAGCTGGCTCTAAAGAAAAATACAGATAGAACCCTAAATTAAAATCTGCAGTCACCACAAAAATTTCTTTAAAGTTTAGACTCAAGTTAAACAGTCTGCAATGTGGAGTTAAACTTGTACGTTAAAATTAGAAAAATATTTAGTTTTATCATGTTTATAGCAGGAAAGTAAACAACAAAATGCAATTAGGCTGTCCAGACAAGTGAAAGTCAAACCAGATTACATGGCCATTTACACTAGGTAGACAATTAGATAAAATGTCATTACTTCTTCTTTAAAAAATCATTTGGGTTAAAGTTTTATGGAAGACATTGTAGATGGAATAACTATTTATGCAAGTAAATTTCAGGGCAATATGTCAGTTGTACATGTCGATCTTTTTTTCATTTATGATAAGCACAAGCCACAAGATCTACATGAAAATGTATGTGAAATGATGTTGAAATTTAACCATTCATTTTGTCTTCTTACCTACCAAAACAACAATGGAGAACAAAATCAAATTATATCATTCTGATAAAAACAAATATGCAGTTCAAATTTTTATGTTGACTTTAAATTTAAGATTAAACTGACTTGTTTTTTTCAGAAACTCGCTGAAGTGTATTGATCCATGGCTTATGGCACCAACATGTGTATTCTTGGCTTCTAAAGTAGAGGTAAACATATATACTGTTTTATATTTATCTGGTGGATGGCATAGTCAATACATGTATTAGCTGCGGAACCGTAGCTTATAGGTCCTTACGATATTTTTTTACAATTGTGATGTTTTTTGACAATTTATTGTCAAAAAATATCATAAGGACCTATGAGATACGGTTCCGCAGCTATACATGTATTTGACCCAATTATATATTTGTCTGACATGAATGTTAATGCCAAGTAACACCTATTTTTCCAGCAAGACATTAATTCAGTTATGATACATCTTTGTTCATCTCTAATTATAATTTTCTTATCTATTTTTAGCTCACCTGGCCGTAACAAATGTGTGTTTTAATTTAGATAGGGCAACTGACTGACGGAAAACCATAAAATTACTAGGAAAGTCTATTTAGTAAGAGATGCCGACTGAACTGACTTTTAAACGTTACAGCTTCATGACCCGAAATAACCCCGGTGAAACATCCTGGCAAAGGGCCTGCATGGACTCCTAAATGTGATTATGTATAAAATTTACTGAAGTTTATCAGGGAGTCTTCATCAGTAGTTTCGTTAATAAGTGAATGAAATATTTCATAATCAGTCCCAATGTCTGGCTAATTGCCATCCCAGAATTGTTGTTTTGAATACACTTAAATATAAGTCCATGCATCAGCAGCAATTGTTAGAGTTTAGTTAAACTTCTTCATGAGAGATTGCAGTAAGGGGTAGGTGGTCTGACTGATAAAATTCTGTTTCCATAGTTGATTATGTCAAAGGAGCAATCGTGTAAATAGCAGTGTGACTAAATACTTTACTATGATTTGATCTTAATAAAAATGATGGTAAATTTTGATGTTTTCTTAAATTTATAATAATAACTTGTTTTAAGTCTCCTTGAATTTTGAACTAATAACCTCTCAATATATGAATTAATTAAACAGTTGAAGATAAAATTTGATTTGATTTTCAGGAATTTGGTGTTATATCAAACACAAGGTTAATCAGTACTTGTCAAGCAGTAGGTATGTAGTATAACAACAATATATTATAAACCAAGTCTGAAGTGTTCAGAATATATCCAAGAAATACGGTCTGTTGTATAGTTTTATTGAAGCACACACTTTTTTGACTTGGTAAGCTTGAACTTAAAAAGTTGACCTTAGATCAAGCAATGAATGCATGTCTTAATTTTAATAGTTTTTTCATCATTGTTATTGGGAGATGCTATTTTTATTAGTTTTCATCAGAGCTATTGGCAGTTTGATTTGAAATTCTTCCACTATTAGAATTATTCAAGTGGTGTAAAAAGAGAGGAGAAAGATATCAAAGGGATATTCAAACTCATAAAAAAGACCTACAGACAAACAACAGTTCACAAAACACAACATAGAAAACTAAAAACTGAGCAACAGGAACACCACCAAACACTGAGAGTGACCAAAATTGATATATTAATAAACATTATATTTGATTTATTCATAGATATTTCAACAATAACATTATGACGTTAAACAAGTTTAAGATCCAATTCAATAATATGATCCACTTTATGATTGTATTGCTATGAAATATTGATTGTTAACAACATTGAGCATGTAAAATAAACCAATATTCACTGTTCTTAAACAAATGTTAGACCATCCTTAAAAATTATTTGTTTCTAACAAGTGATCCTACTCTTTTCTAATGGGTTTGGTAGGTAAGTTTTTTTCAATTTGGCAAAACAGAAAGCTATTGAAATCAATTGCCAATAATCTTTTTCCATGGCAACAATAAAAAATCTGACAAAGAAATGAAATATAAATATGTTGTCCTTCGAAATGGTTAAAGAAAAAAAGCTTCTACATTTGTTTCAAATACCAAAGTATCCTTCTTAATTTGTCAGAATCTGTATTTTCATGTTTTGTATATTGATATAAAGTTAAGGGACACAACAACAATGTATGTAATAGGAAGTCCAAAACAGGATTCTTAGTGTCATTTTATATCAGTCTTCTCAGATATACAATGATGGCATACAAATTAAAAAAAATGAGGAGGTACATATATCAAAACTTTATTTGTTTATGAAAAATGTTGTGCATATCACTCCAGGTTTTAGAAATAATAAATAAAATGTGTATAAACACACATGTAATATAAATGTGTTTATAGCATAAATGTATATCTGCTAATGTACAGTGAATATTTATGGATTGTACCAATCGCCTTTTATTTCAAACTTCTTGAATTTATTAGAATAGTCTTTAAAAAGTAATGATCTTATAAACATGTTATATTTTATTTTCAGTGAAGAACAAATTCTCTCATGCACATCCACTAGAATATCCCTACAGAATAAACTTAGTGCTAGAGTGTGAATTTTATTTACTGGAGATGATGGTAAGACTTCTCAATCTACATGTTGTAGACAAGAAAGCAATGGCCATATTAAATTTGTTAAATCAGTTCCAATCCTCATACTTCTCTATCTACATGTTGTAGACAAGAAAGCAATGGCCATATTAAATTTGTTAAATCAGTTCCCATCCTCATACTTCTCTATCTACATGTTGTAGACAAGAAATGAATGGCCATATTAAATTTGTTAAATCAGTTCCCAACCTCAAACTTCTCAATCTACATTTGTAGACAAGAAATTTAATGGCCATATTAAAATTGGGAAATCAGTCCTCATCCTCATATCATCAAACTATAAACAAAAACTAAAACATAAACTTCTTTACAGCTTAATGGCCATGTGAGCTATTGCCATCACTTGGTATTTGGCAACAGCAAAAATGAACAGCAAGAAAAAATCTATAAAGGTCAAAGACTATAAAATTATCTATTAATTTCTCATAGAACTTAATACCCATTTGGAGTTTTGGCTAATATGTTGAAAATGAAAAAAATATTTGAAACTGTAAACAGAAATAAATGAAACTTGCCCTGAATATTCCTGATAAGTAGTGTCCAGGTGAGAGAATTGGGCAGTTTGTAGCCTCTAGTATGGGTTATAATTTATCAAATTTTGATGGATTTAAATTTAAAAAATATCTGATGTTAAATATTTTTTCATTGGAAGTTTTTATAGGACATGATATTTCCAGAAATGTCAATAATATTTTATTGAATTTGATTTCTATGAAGACAAATAATTTGTTTAGTATATCATTTGAATGTAACAGTCTGCAGGAAAACATGTCACCCTATTGGAGCCTTTAATCTGATTGTGATTCAAACCAGTTTTTACTCTTACTCTTTAATTCTGCATGCTTAGTGGAAAAGTAGCAAACATACATTTCTCCCACACTCCAGGTGAGCATGCTATCACTAGACCACCAAGTGGGTTACATTAAAACAGAAAAAGTCAAATGTTTTGAATATTATTCTTTTCAGACATGAATCTATTTTACTTTCACAAATAAATCTTTTATGTTAGATTTTTAATTTAGCAAAGATCTTAAAAGAGCTACAGCAATTTTATATAATAACTGTTTTCATGAGAATCACTGCAACATATAGCCGCTTTGCGCTGATACAGCGTAAAGCAAAGACCAATCAACCAATCCAGGGTTTCCCCTGAGTCAATTTTCTTTTTTGCCACCCTTTTCACCAAAACTATATTTTTTTGGACAGTTTTATTTTTTTAACTTACTTGGTTTATTTCAATTTGCAGGCCCATCTGGGTTCTAATATAACATGTAATATAAACTCCCATTGCACATGAATCCTACATCTCTATTTTATAATCAACATTTTGATTTTTATTTACATTTATGGGTACTGTAAAATTACATTACAAAGGTAATAAAAGTTTCCTACTGCTCCCTTTTCGTGGAGTGCCAATAATTATATTTGTAACAAAACATTAGCAGGTCAGGTTTTCATTTTCAATCTATTTTAATACCAGATAATTCTTGTTTAGTTGAAGGGCTCTGAATAAAATCAAAGATTTTTCTTAATTTTAGATGTTTAAAAAACAAAACAAAAAAAAGCTTTCTTTTCTGGTACATAGTTAAATGTTAAACCGTAAAACTTTCATGTTTAAAACAGGAGTGCTAAAACGATTGCAAAGTACCTGCTTCAAATCTATTATTTTCATAAAAGTTGTAAAAACAACTCATTTAAGTGACATTTGAGGCCAATTGTTCTCACATTGTTATAAAACCATACAATTAACACCTTTTATTGAATAGATTATTACAGATAGCTATCAAATGCTTTCTGTCAAGATCAAAACCTATGAAGAGTTCAAGGTTAAAAAGACCAACTGATAAGGGAAAAAGTCAGGGATGCCAGAAAAAATAAACAAGATGGACGATGTCCGATTGTTTTGCGAGGTGCAATTTTCATCACTTTCATCAAGTGAATACGCTGTTTTATTTAATATTGGAGCTCTTATGTTGCTATAGATATGGCTAATTAAAGATTTTTCTTGCACTTGGACAGATCCTTTGTTGATTTCAGGATTGTTGTTTAGTACTGTACCATCCCTACAGACCTTTAACAGAGTACTTTAAAGAACTACAGCAAGATGAATCTCTCTTTCCATTGGCTTGGTAAACATATAATTAGAATATGAATTAAGTAAATGTGAATCAACAAAAATGTAACAGCAACCCAACAGCAAACAAAAATTGAAAAAGGATCTGTAGTAATCATCATTTGTTAAAAGAAAGGCAAAAGATACCAAATGGACATTCAAAGTCGTTAGTCAAAAACAAACTGACAATGCCATGGCAAAAAACAACCAAAAGACAAACAACAAAGTACAAAACACAACATAGAAAACTAAAGACTGAGCAACACAAACCCCACCAAAATATGGGGTGTCTTTACTATTTGTTCAGCTCTAAAAAGGACGAAAACACAAAGATATAACTGAATAAATACCACAGATACTGATCCTGACTTAGGACAGGCACATTACACTTATTTATAAGTCTTTCAATTGGCTATACAGATAAAAAGAGAGAAAAGACACCAAGGGTGCAACAAACAATCATAAGTTCATTAAAAGTAGGCAACACCAAGGCCAAAAATAAAACTGATGAAAGGACAAAAACAACAATAACAATACACTGCATAGAAAATTAAAAACTGAACAACATAAACCCCATCAAAAACCAAAATCAGATTTTAGTATTTGATATTGACAGAGCGGTTGGAGTTGACTCTTAAGTCCGACTGTTTAATGACAAACCTTCATTCAAAAGTCACACGAATGAAGAGCAGAGTTTTAGAAAGAGTCCCTTTCTGTTCATGCTACTATTTATAAAATACTGTAAATTCAGAAATTATTGTGATAGTTAGATTAATGCGAATAATTCGACTATGTGAGTATCGCAATACTAAAAACTTGCATATATATGACACATATATCTGTATGCAGATTTTCCTGAAATCACAATAATTAATCTTACATTATTGTTCATTTTTCAAAAATCACATCAATAAATGCACGCAATAATTTCTGAATTTACAGTATACAATACGAACACAAAAGTAATATGGTACAGTATAATTGTGTGTCTGTCTTACATGAATATCTCCCAATTACAAAGTCAAAATACAGTAGGCGGATGGGGAGCAAGAAGGTGAACTGTGGTTTATTTTTATCAATAGTACCACTTAAGTCGACGCTAGGGGCCGTCTTGACCTTGTTGTAGGTTATGAATGATTCGTTCATTGTTGAAGACCCTACATCATGTACATCAACTGTCAAGATGAAGAACAGGAATAAAAGCCCTGTTCATTGATAATTTTCTATGTTTTCTATGTATTGTGTGCGATTTTGTCCCATGTACATTTACTCCATATCCTTTCATTTTCTATATGTATTTTAAATGTAATATATACATACTGGAATGAAAAGTTATTTTTCTAGTCTTATACCTCTGTTGCCATGATGATAAAACTAATTATGTTTTTATTATTGTGCAGGAGAATAGTAAATGACAGTCTTAGAACAGATGTGTGTTTAACATATCCACCTTATTTGATATCTTTAGGTAAGATTTATCTGTGACTGGGGACTGAGTTACTGCCATTATTTTACATAAATGTTCTGTTCATTAATTTTAAGTCATACTGTCTTTTGGGGTGTATAGTGCGCACCCCCTTTATGGTCCAAGAAACGTGAGAAAAAAAGTTTATTGTTTGTATAAGACTCATAGACATTTTCGGAAAAGCTACAGCTCCAAAATCGGCAAACAGGAAGTCTATCGATAAACAGGAAGTTTTTTTTAATGGACACAGATGTCGGAGAATTCCGTACGGAATACGTAATTAATATGAAATTGCAAATATTCTGACAAATGAATAAGAATTTTATTAGATTGAGATAAATCTACATTTGAGTTTGTTTTTTTAAAACCAAATTTAATAAATTGTTTGAGTATCAAGGACAAGATTAAATATCCAAATTAATGTTCTGATTGAAACAATAACATAATTACGAATCATTCAAATGATTATCATTAACATCATTAGTGCTGTAATAAATTGTTAAAATCTCATTATTTTTTTGTTTGTTTGTTGATTCTAGCTGTTAATTCGGATTATCACACCTCAATCAAAGGGTCTAATCGATGTCAAAACAAATCAGTGACAGGTTCACCTTGTTCCTAATTAAATTTGTTCAGGTAACAATTATGGGATTATCATGTTTTCAATCATAATTTCATGAACCGTTTTAAACAGTACGTTGTTTAAAAGTTACAAAGTAGAAACGTATTTATAAAAATAAACTTCTCATAGACTAAATCATCACTTTACAATATCAAGTCACATGACTGACCCACATGACAGGCGATCACCAGGGTTGCGTTCAATATCGTAGCGACTACGTAGTGCTACGTAGATTTTTATCTACTGAACCAGTAGCTAGCCTAGCTGCTATCAATATCTATGTAGCAGCTAGGCTAGCTACACATTCAATAGTCATAAATCTACGTAGCCCTGTGTAGCCGCTACGATATTGAACGCAACCCTGATACATTAGAAAAAATTGCGGTTTATCTTTTCAAAACGAGCGCGGTTTATTCAATTTTCATACACTTATCTTCTACTCTCCATGATGAACACATACAAAAACAGTAAGTTATGACAACAAGGAACACAGAGGCTAATTTAACCGACAACAAAAGCTTTATTGTGTCTTTATTAAGACATGGCAAATTTCCAGATTGCAAACAGATGGACAAATTTACACGATAAACGTAACTACAGAGATATAAAATGTTTTTATTTGAATAAAAGATGACAAATCAAGAACAGTTAGATACATATTACAAATATAACATGTAAAACATAAAAATAATCGAGGTTTTAGCAAAAATATTCCGTACTCTTCACTTCTGGAAATTTCTTTGTTGGGGGTTTGGACCTGAAAAAAGACTAAGAAAATGTCTGTAGGCATGTATAACGTGCACCCCTCTTACAAGAAACATGACTCAGGGTATAAATGTGCGCACTATACATACCAAAAGACGGTAGTTGCCACAAAGTCTAACTCAGCTTATAATTTGTAGAATGCTGTCCGTGTGTCTGTAACATCGTTATTTCAGTTTCTGGACAAAACTTTTGACAAAAGGAATATCTTTACCAAACATAACATGATATTTTCCATAGGTTGATCAGGAAGACGCCTATAGATTTTTGGTTCATTAAATCAAAGGTCAAGGTAACAGCAGCAATTGTTAGACCGAAATTTGGACAAAATTTAGCTTTTTGATAGTATCTTTCTAAAATTTATGTCCACCTATTACCAAACTAGGTAATGTCCCATAGTGTAAGGAAAATCCCTATTTATTTGGGGATTAATAGATTAAAGGTCAAAGTTACAGCAAAAAATGATATACCTAAATTTTGGCAAAGTTTTGGTTTCCAGATAATATTTTTTGAACCATATGTCCAACTTTTATTAAACTTGATTTGACAATGGCTTATATTGAACTCTATTGATTTAGATGTCAGAAGCTTTTTTTTTATACCTTTTTAGTTATTGGGCTTGGAGTAAACAGACCCGATTAGTTTTTAGTTCATTAATTAAAAGATTAAGATTACTATAGCAATAGATATACCGAAAATTGGGAAATATTTTTGTTTTCCAACATTTGATATAAATTGTCAGCAGACTAAACAGTCTTCATTGTAATTCTTCTTAGCTACAAATTTATAAAGATCAAAACTAATGGTGATTCTGTAATTTTTCACAATTTGATATTCTCTGCTGAAACTGTTTGCCTAAAACGAATTAAACTTAGGAGTAATATATGGAAAGACCTTTACAAAAAGCTGCTCGAGGTGGTTTTTGTCTAGCCTTGACAGATTCAAAAAGCAAGACATAGGTATGCTGATTCTGGCGGCGGCAACAGCGTCAACAATGTATTGTTTGTGATAAGGTCTAGTTTATTGTGAACCACTAGTGGTAGATCAATGATATTTGGTAGGCTGTAGTTTTAGCATTGGAACATCTCATTTCCATGGAGATTATTTGGCCCTGCCCCCTCAGTCATGGTCTATTGACTTTGAAACTTTTGCTTAGTTTACATATATTAGTTTGTGATTAGGTCAGTATATGGGGATCCACTAGTTTTTGGTCAATGATATTTAGTGTGCAGTTGTACAAGTATTGGCATATATCATTTCCATGGAGATTATTTGGCCCCGCCCCCTCAGTCATGGTCTATTGACTTTGAAACTTTTGCTTAGTTTATGTGTATTAGTTTGTAAATAGGTCAGTTTAAGGGGAACCATTAGTGGTAGGTCAATGATAATTGTTATGCAGTTATATAAGCATTAGCACATCTCATTTCCATGGAAAATATTTGGTCCTTATCCCTCAGTCATAGTCTATTGACTTTGAAACTTACATACATGTATTAGTTTGTGATTAGATCAGTTTAAGACGAACCACAAATGTTAAGTTGTTGATAGTTGGTATAGAAATGTATTGGCATTTGCAAGTCTCATTTCCATGGAGATTATATAGCCCCACCCCCTTATCATGGTTCATTGACTTTGAAACTTTCACATAGTTTACAAGTTAATGTTTGTGTTTAGGTTTATTTAAAGGGAACGACTTATGATAAGTCAATGGTATTTGGTATGCAGTTGTATTAGCATTAGCTCATTTCCGTGGAGATTGTTTAGCTCTGTACTTTCAGTCATGGTTCATTGACTTTTAATATATACATAACTTGCATGTTAAAGTTTTGCTATTTTAATTTCAACATTTGCATTATCAAAATAACAAAAAGGCGAGACATATCTCTGTGTTAACAGTTTATGATTCCAATTTGTCAATTTTGAAATGTTTTCCTCCTCTTAACAAAAATCATTTCTTTTGAAAAATGAATAAACTATTTCTATAAACAATTTGCAAAAGTGTTCACCCAATAAGTATGACACACATTATTAAAAATGTGTCACTTTAATACTGCAAGTCCAGTCTAAGTGATAGGAATAATGTATAAGTTTTATGGATCTACAATAATTCATCATTATGTTCAAATCGGAACCAAAAACATGTATGGCAGAGGCAATCTATGATTAATTGATAGACCAAGTTTTAAAGTTTATCCTTCTGAAACTAAAAACCCAAATCCATGAAAGAAAATGATTATTTGAGATCCTTTACTGAGATTCTTCAATTCTTCACCCTTATCATACAGCAATGATGTTAAGTAGGCTGTTTAAACCTTAGAAAAACTTGATTTGTCATCCCATTCTCTGGAACTTATATGCTATTTTGAACCAAGTGTGGCATACATAATGTAAGAAAGGTACTCTTTGATAAAAAATTTCCAAATTGCTTTAATATGTTTGTATATAAATTCCATATTATTTACAGCATGTTTACATATAGCATGTGTTATACAACAGAAAGACCTGCGACAGTGGTTAGCTGAATGTAATGTAGATATGGATAAGGTATTTATAGATATTATATACATCAGGCTTTCAATTTGTTTCACATTTCGTCATGCTGGAGCATTTTATAGCTTACTGTAAGATATGGGTTTTGCTCATTGTTAAAGGCTATACAGTGATCTACAGTTGTTTATGTCCTCGTCCTTTGGTCTCTAGTGGATAGTCGTCTCATTTTCATTCATACCACTTTTTCATTACTGTGGGTTCATTATTATTCTTGGGATACCAATTTTCAAGGATTTCATTGGTATAGGTGAAACACGAATTTCAATGTTCAACAAAGTACAAATTATCTATAGGCTTGTATGCAGACTTTGGCAAAACCACAAAATCAAATATCCACGAAAATACAGTTTATATTATATTATAAAAAAATAAATTCACAGCATATTTATACATATGTGAAAAGGGCGATATTAGGAATACTTTAATAAGAGGGTATCCAAATGACCCACAGTACTGTAAGACATTTAGAAATTACCAATATCTTAAACAAACTAGGTTTGATATTGCCCCATGGATTGAGAAATAGCATTATTAATTTTGAGTCACTAGGTCAAAGATTCTAACAGCAACTGATAGATTAGAATTGTGCCAAATTTTGAATTCCAGATGATTTATTTTTTAACCATATGTTCAATCTTTACTTACCTTGTAAATGCGCCTTAGTTCTGATAGTAGCTTTTGAGCCTTAAATCTGATGTTTTCCCATCTTTGGTGGATAATTTGCTTTGTAGTGAAAAAGACCGTTATTGATTTTGAGATCACTGAGTCAAAGGTAAAGGTCACTGCAGCAATTAATAGATTAAAAGGAGATGTATCACCATGGGTTAATATTAGCCTTAAAATTACGTGAAATTCAACTTCAGAAATAAACTACACATTTGATGAAACAATATGTAAAAATATCAGACAAATAAAAAATCAACCATCATTGACTCATTTCTACAGTAATAATATCATTACTGTGCATTTAAGTGGTGAAAATCAGAATTAAATACAAGATACCTGTTAACACAGAAAGTACAAAAACCTTAATAGATAAATGCAGAAAAATTACGGCTTTCTTTGCAGATTCTTGAAATTTCAAGACAGATTTTGGCTTTGTATGAGTTATGGAAAAGTTATGACGAGAAAAAAGAAATTGCAGCTATTTTAGAAAAAATGCCAAAGCCAAATACAAGTCCAACACCGTAAGTAAATAATGTCAGAAACTAAGGATCACTAACTTTCTTTGATGATGATCATAAAAACAAATATATAATTTTCAAAAGTTTTTTGTGTAATTGATGATATATTGCATGTATTTCAGACTTTTTAAAATCCATTTACCTTATGAAGAAATCATATTGACCTAAACTCACATAATATCATGACAAATGAAAAACTTAAAGCACATGTGGAGTAACCATCAATGAGACAGCAACCAAACAACACAAAAACACAAAAGACATGGAGAGGTCAACATATGATCTTCGACAATAGACATTTGCCCCTAAGATATGTTAAGCTCGTAACTTCTTGGAGTCTGTGGATGCAAACGATAGATTTAACATAGACTGTCAAAGATCTAACACTAAATTCCCAAAAATGACAAGGAAAACAAATTAGTTAGCTATTACAGAAGACACCCACATATGAGGTTTCTGACTTTGGACAGGTATTTTATTTTCGCGATTTTCTCTCATCCGCCAAATAATGAACATGTTGCAGGGTTAAACTAGTAATTTGATATATCCAGACTACCTTTAAATATTGATCAGTAGACTAACAAAAGATGCTTTAGAACAAACAATTAAAATCAATGAATAAAACTCACTTAACTCTGAAATAAGTGAATAAAAGATAACAAAAACAAAAGAACAAACAAAGCAATTTCAAACACCAACATAGCATATGCTGACAGTTACTAAAAGCAAGCTTAATGTACCTAACCTGTTTATATGAAAAAATGTCTGTGACTGTGACATTTTTCTTTTTATGTGCTTGTGATAAACCTACTCCCATCACTTTTCCTGTTGTTTGCCTGTGATAAACCTATTCCCACCTATCATGTGCTTGTGATAAACCTATTTCAATCCCTTTCCCTTTTCCTATCATTTGCCTGTGATAAACCTATTCCGATCACCTTTCCTGTCATGTGCCTCTGATAAACCTATTTCCATCACTTTTCCTGTCATTTGCCTGTGATAAACCTATTCCCATCACTTTTCATGTCATTTACCTGTGGTAAAGATACCCTATAGCAGGTTATTTTCCCGGGTGTAAATTTTCGCGATTTAGGGGCAACAAAGTATACGAAAAATTTTGGCGGTTTTTATTTTGGTGGATTCTTAAATCCCAATTAAATATTTTGGCGCATACTGAAATTGTTGCAAATAAAATATTGAAAAATTGAGAAGCAAGTTAATTGATTTGTTTACCTAAAGATGTCTTATTTATTAATCTTGACTGGAACTTTGATGTACTCACTAATTAGGTTATAATATTATCAAGACTGATTTACAACTCTTATGCAATTTGACACTAATTAATAAGGGTAAATACCTGATAGAGTACTCTACTCATAAAATATTTGACACTAATTAATAAGGATATACACACGTGACAGTCATTTATAAAATAGATGTATGTTCAATGCACTTTTTGTTTATGTTTTTAAAATAACCTATACCATTATTGACTTACCGACCGATGCTCTAGCTATTAGAAAGTAACAAAAATATGCATTAATTTACGCGGAATTTATTTTCGCGATTTTCTCTCATCACCAAAATAGGTGAAAATAAACACCCCACGAAAATAACCCGGTATACGGTATTCCTATCACTTTTCCTGTCATTTGCCTGTGATAAACCTATTCCTATCACTTTTCCTGTCATTTGCCTGTGATAAACCTATTCCCATCACTTTTCATGTCATTTACCTGTGGTAAAGATACCCTATAGCAGGTTATTTTCCCGGGTGTAAATTTTCGCGATTTAGGGGCAACAAAGTATACGAAAAATTTTGGCGGTTTTTATTTTGGTGGATTCTTAAATCCCAATTAAATATTTTGGCGCATACTGAAATTGTTGCAAATAAAATATTGAAAAATTGAGAAGCAAGTTAATTGATTTGTTTACCTAAAGATGTCTTATTTATTAATCTTGACTGGAACTTTGATGTACTCACTAATTAGGTTATAATATTATCAAGACTGATTTACAACTCTTATGCAATTTGACACTAATTAATAAGGGTAAATACCTGATAGAGTACTCTACTCATAAAATATTTGACACTAATTAATAAGGATATACACACGTGACAGTCATTTATAAAATAGATGTATGTTCAATGCACTTTTTGTTTATGTTTTTAAAATAACCTATACCATTATTGACTTACCGACCGATGCTCTAGCTATTAGAAAGTAACAAAAATATGCATTAATTTACGCGGAATTTATTTTCGCGATTTTCTCTCATCCACCAAAATAGGTGAAAATAAACACCCCACGAAAAATAACCCGGTATACGGTATTCCTATCACTTTTCCTGTCATTTGCCTGTGATTAACCTATTCCTATCACTTTTCCTGTCATTTGCCTGTGATACACCTATTCCCATCACTTTCCTGTCATTTGCCTGTGATACACCTATTCTCATCACTTTTCCTGTCATTTGCCTGTGATTCACCTATCCCCATCACTTTTCCTGTCATTTGCCTGTGATACACCTATTCCCATCACTTTTCCTGTCATTTGCCTGTGATACACCTATTCCCATCACTTTTCCTATCATTTGCCTGTGATAAACCTATTCCCATCACTTTTCCTGTCATTTGCCTGTGATACACCTATTCCCATCACTTTTCCTGTCATTTGCCTGTGATAAACCTATTCCCATCACTTTTCCTGTCATTTGCCTGTGATAAATCTTTTGAAAATGATTCTAAAACTTCTACATGAGTAGATTTTAACAAAAAATTATGTCGTCAAATTGACATTTAGAAAGTTCGTATATTTGTGTTTTTTTGTTTGTTATATCTTGTGATTTTTTATTGTAGAACGTCTGCTCAAGATGGAAGTCAACAATCACAATCTGTACAGTGATTGGAGGATTGATTCTAATTTATTCCTGAACTTTTACCCAATGATGAATGTTCATTGAAATTATATCACAACTACGAGAACCATTGGACAAGTGCATTATAATAAAATTTGTAATTTACTTTATGAGGTTATGTTAACATCAGGGTCTTTTCAATGGTTCTAGGTAATTGCTTCAATAAGTAAATATGTTTTGTACTGTTCATCAATATGTTGTGAAGTATTGTATTTTGAAATTAAAATTTGATCCAACAATTGAAAATTTCTATGAACTATAAAAAACTATTATCTTTAGGATGGAGAGACCAGAAAAATGTCAGAGAAATACAGATATTTTCCATATTATGAAGTAAGATTAAAAAAATGTATTTGTGTAGGAATGCAAATTTATCATTAAAAAATGTATTAAATAAACTCACATTACATGATTAGATTGTTATTTTATGGGAATCCAACATTTTATTTTCTAATGAAAAAGTTAAGGATGGCAAAGCAAATGTGTTATCTCTTAGCAATTATTAGCTTTTGTGATAAGTAAGCTAATAGGGATGAATACACAGAGAAATAAAGTCTATTTGCAGTTAATTTAGTTAAACATGTTCTGTTTAACTTGTTCAGTCCCATTCTCTAGGTCATTGTATATTGACTACAATCAAATTTGATAATAAGCATGGCCTAATAGGTACTAGTTATGCTATTTAAATTAGTTTTAGCCTGTATTTAAATTAGCACAGTTTTGCCCCTTGTCCATGATACTGGTAGTTATACCTAACAACTCAGTTATGGTTCTTAGACCAACGCTTTTGTATGAATTAAATGAGAAGTGAAGTGTATCACCATAGTAGAAAAACATGTTGAGGTCAACATACAGGGTTCAACAGATGAGAAGTATGTACCAAATATAAAGTTTTTGATGCACAGATTGAAGATGAGCTGTGAATCAACAGAGACTACTTTAAAACTGTTCATACAACCATTTATTTTGTTAAATTTCTGTATAAGGAATTAAAACACAACACAGTATTGAATGAAAACAGAAGTTTTAAAGGCCCAATAATACATAGAAAGTACCGTTTTTGTCTCGCCTTGACGGAGTAAAAAAGCGAGACATAAGTATGCTGTTTCCGGCGGCAGTGGCGACAGTGGCGGCGGCGTCAACAATGTATTAGTTTGCGATTAGGTCTAGTTTATGGTGAACCACTAGTGGTAGGTCAATGATATTTGGTATGCAGTTGTATTAGCATTGGCACATCTCATTACCATGGAGATTATTTGGCCCTGCCCCCTCTGTCATGCTCTATTAACTTTGAAACTTTGCTTAGTTTACATGTATTAGTTTGTGATTAGGTCAGTTTATGGGGAACCACTAGTGGTAGGTCAATGATAATTGGTATGCAGTTGTATAAGCATTGGCATATTTCATTTCCATGAAGATTATTTGGCCCCGCCCCTTCAGTTATGCTCTATTGACTTAGAAACTTTTGCTTAGTTTTCATGTATTAGTTTGTGATTAGGTCAGTTTATGGGGAACCACTAGTGGTAGGTCAATGATAATTGGTATGCAGTTGTATAAGCATTGGCATATTTCATTTCCATGAAGATTATTTGGCCAAGCCCCCTCAGTTATGCTCTATTGACTTAAAAACTTTTGCTTAGCTTTCATGTATTAGTTTGTGATTAGGTCAGTTTAAGGGGAACTGTTAGTGGTAGGTCAATGATAATTGGTATGCAGTTGTATAAGCATTAGCACATTTCATTTCCATGGAGAATATTTGGTCCTTACCCCTCAGTCATGGTCTATTGACTTTGAAACTTTTGCTTAGTTTACATGTATTAGTTTGTGATTAGGTCAGTTAAAGATGAACCTCTAATATATGATATTTGATGTAAATGAATTGGAATTTGCAAGTTTCATTTCCATGGAGATTATATAACCCCAGCCCCTCATTATGGTTCATCGACTTTTACATAGTTTACAAGTTAATGTTTGTGTTTAGCTTTGTTTAAAGGGAACAAATTATGAAAAGTCAATGGTATTTGGTATGCAGTTGTATTAGCATTGGCACATCGCATTTCTATGGAGATGGTTTAAACCTGTAACTTCAGTCATGGTCCATTGGTTTTGAATATTTGCATAACTTACATGTTAAAGTATTGCTATTTTAAATTCAACATTTGAATTATCAAAATAACAAATGGGCGAGACATATCTCTGTGTTTACAGTTTATTTATATAAAAATCATTATTTGGAATGAAATATCAACCATTTATTTATTATGATGACCAGTTGTCAATGTATTTACTAACATGTGCAGAACACAACCCGTTATACCAGTATAATGAATATGTTGCACCATTTGCTACCATGAGCTCTATTAACCATCTTCGCTAGCCAAGGGTTACGATCCATTTCCCTCCTCTGGAGAGGAGGGAAATGGATCGTAACCCTTGGCTAGTGAAGGGAAATGGATCGTAACCCTTGGCTAGCGAAGATGTCTATTAACAGGCACCTTCAGTTAGAGTCTATTACAAAATTTTGTGGTAAAAAGTCTAGCAATAAGGCAATTCTCTCTGAAGGAACTGATGTCACAGGTACTGCATACAGACTTCCTGCAAAAAGGAAAAGTCTTGAATATTTTCAATGTGGCTTTAGCACACCACCACTTAAAATGACTCTTCGTCAGGGTCTAAATTGTCTGGCTCTAGTGCATATTTGTTTTCTCAGGAGATTCTCAGAGGAGGGTTTCATTGGGACATTTTCCTGATGTTTTTCTCTTGCCTCCACCAAATTGAAAAATCATTACTAATGCGTGATGTTTCAAGCAATGGTGTTGGCTGCATTAACAATGTATTAGTTTTTTAATAAGTCAGTTAAAGGGAAACCGATAGTGGTAGGTCAATGCTATATGGTATGCCCTTGTTTAAGCTTTAGCTTATCTCATATCCATGTTGATTATATAGCCCCTCATCATGGTTCATTGACTTTGAAACTTATACTATCAAAATAAAATGAAGACGAGACATATCTCTACCTCAACTGTTTATTATATACTGATTTCTAGCTATCAACTTTAATGGTGATCAAATTTCATGAAAATATCAAATGCTATAATCTCAGGTGGAAACATTGCGGAGGAGGAAAATAGTAAAAAAAAATTGATTTGAGTATCATAGTTTGAAATTTGCATTCGACTTCTCAAGTGCCCTGTTCTTGTTGCCATCCTTTTTCATTTTTATGATAAGGTCAGTTTCTCAGTTACTGTAAATAATAGGTCAGTTATTTCATGGTGTATCAAATGGTTTTTGTCTCGCCTGCGTATTTGTATTAAACTTTATATTTCAGAGGGAAGAAGATCTGGAGGCTTCATACCTTGTGTACAGAGGCCTTATGTTACGAAGTTTCCATCTGTCATATGTTCATTGTCCTTGACCTTATTTTCATGGTTCAGCGACTGCTTTATAAAACACATTATTTTTTTTTGTCATGTGATTTTCTCACTTATTATGAGTAATAGGATAACAATATTTGGTATTCATGCGTTCCTTGCAAGTTCTACATGTCCATCAGACCGAGTTCACCTTATTTTCATGGCATTTATAAATGCTAAGTTTCAGTTGTAATGTCATTTTCTAAGATACTATAAGCAATAGGTCAACTATATTTGATATATGGAATGATTGTAAGGTGTACATTTCTGTCTGGCAGGGTTCATCTTACCTTGACCTCATTTTCATGGTTAATTAGTCAATGTTAAGTTTTCCTGGTTAAGTCTGTTTCTTAGATACTATACTATATATAAGGTAAACTATATTTGATGCATGGAATTATTGTAAGGTGAAAATGTTTGTCTGGCTTGTTTTATCTGACCTTGACCTCCTTTTAATGAATCATTGATAATCATAATGTTAAGTTTATGTGATACTTGAAGTGAAACTTGTATAGAAGGATTGTAAGGGCCAAATAACTGTCTGACAGGTTTCATGTGACCTTGACCTCGAAATCATGATTAATAGGTTAACGGTTAGCTTTTGTTATAAGGTCAGACATCCCCGAAATAGTCAACTTTATTTGGCGTGTAGAAGAAACGTAAGGTGCAGATATTCGTTTGACGAAGTACATCTCACCATGATCTCATTTGCATGATTCATTAGTCAATGAGTTTTATGATAAGACAAGTTTCTCAGATACTGTAAGTATTTGGTAAATTTCTTTTTGATAATATAAAGTTTCATGATTAGTTTCTGTGTGTAAGTTTGTGGGTCAAATATATATGGTGTCATTTTATATCGTTCATTGATCAACATTATGTTTTCAAGATAACACCAGACACCAGTTACTTTCTTAGGCTATAGGTTAACCCTGTTCGGTATACAGAATTATTGTTACATGTTTATGTACATCTGACAGAGTTCATCTGACCTTGACCTCGTATACTAGTATATGGATCATGATTAAAGGTAATTTTTGTGATTTTATCCTTTGAATTTCATATTTTGTCATGCTGGGGCCTTTTATAGCTTACTATAAGTCTGGGTTTTGCTCATTGTTGAAGACTGTACAATGACCTTTTGTTGTTTGCATCCTCGTCTTTTCGTCTCTGGTTGATAGTTGGCAATCGTACCACATCTTATTTTTATGGCATTTCAGTTATGGTTTTAAAGAATACACATGGACATAATTTCAAAAACCAAATCACCTAGCAATCTCATACACTTTGATTAAGTACACCAGTGGTTTCTCCACTAATCTTACTGAATTTTTACAACTCAGTTGAAAATGCCTCATAGTTATAAGTTTAAACTTATTTCATTTGCTTGAATATGCAATAAGGATGAGACACAACTGAAGTACACTTATCAAATCTTCTCTCGTCAACAATTTTTTACGATATAATATCAGCATTGATACAATAAAATACAACCTAACTTATTGTGAAAAAGATCAGAGGTTGGACACAGTAGGAACACTATCTGATATACCATATCTGATATAACATCAGATACCAGTCAATTTATTTGATCCTTATAAATTCATATACATGTTTGAAAATGATTTCATTTTGATTGTTAGATAAAAATTTCGGGAAACATCAAGAAGTTGGAAAAGCGATCTACATGCTTCTCATCTTTCCATTCTTTGATCACCTTATAAATTTATATACATGTTTGAAAAAGATTCCATTTTGATCATTGGTATATTAAGGCATATAAGCGGAGGTTCAGATGTCCAAGTTTAATAGACACTTCACTGGTAACTAGTTAAGATTATCAAATAGTTTACTTTTTATATTTAATAGCAGAATTAGGATACAAAGAAGTGGTATGCATCTTCACAATTAGCACCACATTAACAGGGTGGAATAAAACTGACTCTTTTTGAAGTTGATAATTCAAACAGGAAAGTGAACATTGAAGCTTTTCCAAATT